GGAACTAGAAATTTGATTCACTAGTCCGCGGTTTCCCTACAGGGTAGTTTAACATTTATTGTATTAAAGGACTATTTTTCGATTAGGCAGTATAAATTTTGATTTGAGACATTAGTAGCCATATATGTGTCTACACCTACGTAAATATGTAGCTAAATTTGAAAGGCGCAAGAGTTTTGGGAATACACGATTAACTTTTATGTTTGTTTTTCAACCGAAAATGAACTGTAAATATTTATTGGTTCTTATATCACTTGTTAGGCTAGCTTATGCCTTCTAAAGCAATTGTTGAAGAGTAATCAATTTGATTGCTTGTCCTAACGCATGTAGATATGTTGCAGTCATCTTTGTGTTTACCTTATAAATTTGAGAGTTTTAATTATATTTGTGGTAACAATGACAATCATTACGCCGGAAGGAAAATATAGTATTTTAATTTGTATATTAAATGTAAAAATATGTCGTAGGGAGTCTCGCAATTTTAATACTCCTTTTGATCGATTCACATGTTTTTATAATTCATTCATCCAATCTACAGCAGCAGGGAATTTCATTACTGCGGATTAGAGTGAGATTACCTAGGATTGATACTTGTTGAGGATTGCTTCCTAAAAAAAACATATGGAGGGTTGCTTAACTGTGCCTAGATGTGCATAAACTTTTCTAATTGCTGGATACAGATTTATTTCCCTAAATGCAATAAATACCAATGCCTTCACTAAATTCTTTATACAAAAATTATTCAAGAGAAGTTTGGAAAAGCTCACATCAGTTCCGAAATAGTTCCGAAAAGCCCGAAAAATCCCGCGAACCTCCTACCTCATTACCTGGGTGAAATCATCAGCCCTAGTTTAAACATAAGTAGGAATTGTTTTTAAATTTTATTTCAGGGCACGCAAGTTTAAGAAGAACATAATTATGCAAAATATTAAGAAACAAGTAATTTAAATAAATATTTTTAAAGACCAGCTAATAAAATAAAGAGCTAAATATTTAAAACAACGGCAACATTTTTTGTGGATTTATTTCTTTGCATTTAAGTTATACACGTCCTCAATATGAACCATATTAGATCATAAATACGGGTTTCCCAACTATGTATGCAAATTTTTTTGTGGAGTCATTCCTTTTCATTTAAGTAATACTCCTCCTCAATATGAACTATAAATATAGCTTTTTCAAATATTTCGACACCTACGCCACCTAGAGGAAGTATTGCCATCGGGTTCTGAGGTCAGTTTTAAGTTTCAAGTCGCTAGCTCAATGGGAAGTTCGTTAAAAATTGATTGCACACAGGTGAAACTTAATAAAAGCTTGTAAAATTGTAACGATCGTTTTTTATTATTTCTCAAACATTTTACGATGAGATTCAAAATTAAATTCAGTTTTTGCACATCACTGTTATTTGCATATCGAGCAATTTGACACCCGAACTTAACTGGGTCACTTCAACAAAGAAACGATATTTGCCAGGATCCAGGGTATTTACAAACAAATTTGGTTCCACCGAGATATTGGTGAGCTTGTAGTTGCGCGGCTTCAAAGGACATTGAATTAGGGATATGACAGCCGGTGGAATTTTAAAAAATGCCTGCATGAGATACATCTGCTGGTTATTGGCAAGAAATTTACACACCTCGATGCGTCGGAGTTGCGCTATATTACTATAGTATGATGTATCGTTGTTGGCTTTACGTTTCAGCTTTAAGCTCATAAGCAGATCATTCGCTTTCCATGGTTTAATGAGCGTCAAGTAAATATCAAATTTGGTGCCATTATCGTGAATGTACATACGTCTGAAAGATGACATTTTCGCCACTTACGCGATTTTTTATGTCCAAGATTTGGAAGCGTTTCTGGAAAATTATTAAAGAGTAGTGATTTTTTCTAATAGAGAAGTTTTTTTCTTATTAAGACCACATCGAGCCCTAACCGTCAAAATAACGTAAGCGACATTTTTTTCAAAATTTTCTTTTTGATGCAGAAATGCATCTAGATTCTCTAGGAATATTGCTGCATCAAAAAGAAGATTTTGAAAAAAATGGCGCTTACGTTATTTTGGCGGTTAGGGCTCGAAATTTCTTTTACACATATTTATCATTTTTAATTCTTACCGCTTCGGCTTGCTGACATCCAAATGCGGCGAAAAGCATGGTTACAGTTAGAAGTAACAGCTTCGGTGGTGTCATTATTTGGACCGCCACAAACATACTGAATTGATGTTGGGAATATGTAGTTTAACATTTTTGCAGTGNACATTTTTGCAGTGATACGTTTTTTTTTTTTTTTTTTTGTTAAACCAAATCATTTAAGCGCTATAATGAGGCTTGGAAATTAAACTAATTTTGCGGAACGATGAGTTGTATTGCTAATCTTTATTTTTGGCTTGTCGATTAGTTAGCTAAATTATTTGTCAGACTAATTAAATTAGCAAAATTAATAGTGCGTGGTGGTCGCGGTCGAATGTAAAGCGGTGTATGCAATCATTCGCTGAGTTCGCCATTTCATATCTTCTTAGGTGGTTAGTTTGGTCCGAGAGTTAAAAACTACACCAATTTCCCTTCATCTTTGCAAAGTAATGCCAGTTGTGCTTGCAGCTTATTTTGCACTAAGCCGCGTTTACTACATCCCTACAACTGAGAGCCGAATAGAGAGGTATCTTTATTGTAGCCAAACATACACAGAGAAAAATATGGCCTATAGAAAGAAGAAGATTGTCTCTAAGAAAAGTATCTACAGTAAGGAGTAAAACAGACAAAAAATCTATGTAAATTTCATACAGATTTCGTAATTGATTTTATGGGAATTTCATTTGGGCAACTTCTTGTGTTCGTAAGAGTCGAAAATCATGAAATTGTCTTATAATTTTCTATGCAAAAATTTCAAATTTCCAATTCGTAGGTAAACAAGAATACGACTCATTATTGATCTTATTTATAAGAAAATATTTTAATCATCACAAATACAGATGAGATGTACATATGTATATATTTCATTAAAAATAATAGTGTTGGTTATGAGAGTAGTCGAATAGTTAGACCTGAAAACTGCCATTCAGTAGGTCCTCCGTTCCGTTTTTTCTTCATTTTATATATTTTCTTTAATTAGGTAACCTAATAATATTGAAAAATTCTTCCTTGATTTCATTGAAAAGACAGTCCCACTAAAACTAGGAAGACTTTCTTCTTGGAGAAAAATCATAGATATATGTATGTATATTCTAATGTGTATTAGCTGGGTTTCGCACATACTACGACATGTCTTATATATAAGCTATAGCCTATTTCCACCTAAGGCTTAACTGCAGTTAAGAGCTTAGATAAGTACAAAGACTTTTTTACGTGGGGTGATTGCCAAAGTTTACTTCTTAATTTATGCTTTTTCCTTTCGTTTGCTTCTACTTAGAAAGGATAGAATTACTACCCACTGTGGTTAAGGATTGGTGGAAATCAACTATAAGCCAACGCAATCGCTATAATATTGTTTTAGGTTCGACTGGGTTTATGCCATAAGGCTCGTAAAATTCAACATCTTATAACGAGGTCAAACAATGTATCCAGCTATAGTGGATAATACTTACAGTCTTCGCTTCGCAGTTGGGAATCGGAAGGGAAGCAAGAACGTGATACGATTTATTTATAATAATCTACTCATAAAAGTAGCACAGAGAGTGAATAGCTTCTGGGCCCTGAAGTTATTTAACATTTATCTTATAACTTTCAAATGGATACCCTAGGCAAAGCAGCATAAGTAGGGATGCCAGACATATTTGTTTGGAAATAAAAGTCTAAATTTTCACCTCCTCGTCTTTCTTTTCTGGATTCTTAATTAAGCACTGCTGGGATTTTCGAATTTTAAAAGGGATAAACAGGGCGTTCTTCAGGGGAGAATGGCAGTTTAGGGCCTTTGGAGTTGGCAACACTGGTCTATAGTGGTAAAATTAGCCTTTATAATAATCCTAATCTAAATCTTCATCTTAACGTTCATCGAAATCTTAATCCCAATAGCCTTTTTACCTTTAGCAGCACGTTCATCATCTATACCTCCATCCTCAGCTATTACCTTCACCTTCATCTTTAGCTTAATCTCCATCTCTTATTTTCATCTTCATCTTCATGTTATTCATATTCATCCCAAATACCCAATCGTGTGATTAGGCCTCAAGAATTTCTCGTAATGCTTTCTTTGCTATTTCCGAAATTATTCTACTTTTTCGAGTTTCATTTCCTAATTTGATGGTATTTCGAGCGTAAAAGTCCCTATACAATTTTTAATTACTCAAATAGCCATTACGAATCCAAGGGTACTAGCAATAAAGCACTTAACAATTTTTTTTGTATCGCGTTCACTAAACTTCGGAAACTAAGTATGGAGCACCTGAGCGAACGGATGCAATTTACGAATCGCTTGCAACACCATCTCGAAGGAATTCCTTTCACTTGCGCTGCCGACCATCAAAGTTAGCGCCATACACTCTCTCCTGCCGTAATGCTAACAGGAAGTTCAACGTAACTTAGCTAGTGCGTTAGCTAAACTTTAAAAAATTCACAGATACGAGGATTTGTGTACGTGCGCAGAATTACCTGTTATACAATCTGGCAATCAGGTATCTGTAAGGGAATGAAGGTGGGTATAAATGTAAGAACATTCCTACATATATGTACATATGTACATCCAGGACCTCTTTTACACGAATGGTTAAGGTATTATTTGAGAGAAAAGGTATTTGACATCACATGTATATACATATTAAATAAGGCAAACGAAAATGAGAAAATAAAATTAAATCAGTGAAGTATACGAATATAGAACAAAATAAAATAAAAGAAAATTACACTTTTAATTGGGCCGTTGGTTGATTTTCCAGGCCTGAAGACGTGCTTTCAAGCAGAAGTTTATGCCATCAGTCGATGCGCAGCGATCAACCTTCATACTAAATGATAGTCAGGCGCCACTTATGGCTTTCTCATCCTTCGATGTCAAATCTTTGGTCCGAGAATGTATCGAAAAGCTTAATGACCTTGCTATGAACAATACCATCCATCTTATATGGGTGCCGAGACATATGGGATTCGAAGGAACTGAAGAAGCCGATCAGCTAGCCAGACTGGCTGCTGCCTCGACTCCGATAGGACTGGAGCCCTTCCTTGCAGTGGGTCCCAGTACGATAAAAGGGGCGCTCATAAAGGAAAATGGTAAACTCGGGTATTGCATTGGCGTAACATCGCGGGACTTCGCCAAGTCAAGAGTTTATTAGGGGGTGCAATAGACCTTATGGTCGCATTGCTTACTTTATTCATATATAGCTATCTATCAATAGCTGGTAGGTTAGGTTAGGTTGATGTGGAAGTCGGTCCAATGACCAACTCACTTAGACCTTACAGGTCCATTGTGATGATACCACTGTGAAACAAGGGAACCTCAGTGACTATTCTACACAGAACCGTTTTGCAGCTCTTATGAAGCCGGATGGGTCCGTAAGAGAGCCGAAAAGGTGCCGACTTGGAGAGCTCAGTTTGCTCTTAGCTAAAGCCAGGTAGCTACAGAAGAAGTGCTCAACTATTTCTTCTTCGTCCTCATCTCTTCA